CTTCAATGGACCAATATCTCGCTTCTGTTTGCAACAAAACCCCTCGAAAGTGTCTGATTCCTTGAAACCGATTTTGAAATGCAGGCTGCCAAGCTCAAATGCAAGATCATCAATTATCCATGGATTCTCCCTCAGTTTGCTATGCACACACTCAGTAACACCAATGGAACTTGTTGCAGTTGAAATTTTCAACTGAAATGATGTGGAACTCAGAACTTGGTTGTAACTTGCAAGTGAAGAAATGTGATTGTGCTCTCTCTCTCCTCTCTCAATTCTCTCTCTATCACCCAACCTTGAACACTATAAAGATCATCCTTCTTATAATGATGGATGGAAGAAACTGGATCCTTCTAGAATCATCTAGAAAAGTGTGGAAAGTTCTTGAAAATCTCATGACATGCCCTATTGGTTATCTCATATCTCATATGTTATGCCTTGCAATTTTGTGCCAAATTCTCCTTATGAGAGATATTGAGTGTGGATGAATGAAAAACAAGCTCATCTTTGGCTTGTGTAGGGTTTTTCAACATTGCCTTCTTTTTCAAGTAACAACTTTTCAAAGCATCACCCATTTTAAAGCTCAAAATCAAAATTCTAGCTAAACCAATGTTCTCAAAATGATTTTTCCAATCAAAATGATATATTGGATGACCTATTTTGGATTTGTGGATCTTCCAAATCACTTTTCAATTTCAACTTTTCAAACTTATATGCCATTTTTAGTTCATTTTTGACCAATCATGTAATCTCATGCTATGAGCTTTTCCAACAATTTGTGACCTTCTTTCTAGACTTAAAATCACATTTTGAGCAACTTTCATGTTTTGAGTTTTTCCATTTGAGGCTTGGAAATAGGAGTTTTAGGCATTGGATAAAATGACCTATAACTGACAAATGACCAAAATACCCCTGTCTTGTTCAAACCATAAGTTGAGTTTCACAAATCCAATCAAGGACTTCTACCACTCAAATTAAAGCTAAGAAGATGCTCTTCAACATTCATGTTGACCAAGAAATCATAGGAATCCTCATACTAGGGCAAAAGTTGTCTGCAAGTTGGGTGACTTTCAAGGACCCAGATTCACACACCTCAGCTGACCTGTAATTTGTCAAAACCATAACTTGAGCTCTGTAACTCCTATCAAGGACTTCCACCACTCAAATTAAAGCTTAGAACAAGCTCTACAACATTCATGTTATGGGGAAGGTGAGATATCAATCACATCTAGAGCTAAAACTGCCTGGAAGATAGGGGTCAAATTAGGGTTTTTCACTGACAATCCTTGGAGACCCTGACTTGAAACTTCTCAAACTCCTCACTCATGATGAGTTGGCCTAGGAATCATCTTTATATCATCTCTATGCATCATCCCATGACCTCATGGCCCTTGGATTGGTCTCAACCTTCTCCAAATCATCAGTTATCCTAGGGTTGACCCAGTCAAAACCCTAATTCTATCATTCATGGTTGAATCTTCTAAACCCTTGCATAATGACCTCTCTGGGATTCATGAAGGCTATCAAGACATCTCATAGGCTTTCTCAAAACATCAAGTTCATTCTCAAAGTCTCAGAATCATCTGAGGAGCACCCACAACTCTCAAGCTATGAAGCACACAACCCTGGTTTCAACCCATTCCTCTGAGGATCTCTTGAACTTTCTGATGAAGGTATCCACTTTCAAGCACTCAATGAATAAATAATTGTCGGTCAAATTTTGGGGTGCAACAGATAGCATATAAAAATCCATCTCTTTCTTTCTTGTGTGATTCACTCGTGTCTGTTTGTCTCTATAACTTAAATCGACTCTTGTTGATGCTTTTTGTTTACTTGTGCACACTATATGATCAAGACAACTTGTTTTTGTTTTAATTTTATCAACTTAGCCACACAAAAAAGCCAACCCTTTGAGCCTATTTATCTTTTTTTTTTGTGATTAACTCATTACAAGCCGAAAAGTGAAAAACAAAATTACCACCCTAATCAAGGGTTGAAAGAGTCTTGTATGGATTTGTGTGGGGTTGAACTTCATTTTTGTGATGTTATTGTGATGTTTCAAATGTTGGCAGAAAGAAAAAAAATAGAAAAAGAAAAGAAAAAAAATATTAAAAAATGAAAAAAAAAATAGAGAAGGATTTCATTACATAATCCTTCCGAAAAAAAGAATAAAAGTAAAAAGAGAAGAGAAATAAGTTGCGAGGTTGTTGTTTGAAAGAAATTGATGTATCCTATAGTTCAACTCTCGCAATCCTTTCAATTTTCTTTTAACCCTTTGACTTTTAGCCTAGTACCCCCTTAGGATTTATCTCACCCTTACCTTGGCCAAGTTACAACCGAACAAAAGTCTTTTTAATCTGTGTGTGCTTGTATTTAAATTGCAAATGTTAGAGTCTTTTCAAGCTTATAGTAATACTAACTTTCATGTTGTGTTTGATTGTATACAGTAAACCTAAACACTTGAGAGTTGAGTGAATTATCTTGTGAGGATCTTGATGTTTTCTATGTACTTTTTGGTAACCTATTTTTCCTATTTGCTCTAAATGTTACAAAGAGTTGCTCACTAACATCATATTCTTGAAGTTTATACTTAGAACTCTACTTATACCATGTATCTTGAATACTTTTGGAAATGCATGCTCTGTTTTATTTTGTTTTGAAATTTTGAAGTTATCATTTTTCTCGGAGTGCAAAAGTTCGAGTGTGAGGGAATTTGTTTAGTGCATTTTAATGCACATTCTTTTATGTTTGTACTTAGCCATTTTCTTAGTATTTTTTTCTTTGACTGTTTTACAATGCTTTTAGAATTAAGTCTTTGTTTGCCTTTAATCTATTTTCTCAACTTATTTTCAGCTTTAACGGTTATTTAATATTTTCCGTTGTTCGGATCATAACTAGAGCTACGAGAATCGAATTGACATGTTTTAATAGTTGTTGAAAAGCTAAGACAAAGAGCTACAACTTTAGTGTTTCATGCAAAAGCTAATTCAGAATGTAGCTGACTCGAATAATTCGTTGAAGTCAGAACCCAGATTCTGCCTTAAGGAATATTTAGTTTTGGGCCGGGTTTTTTATGTTTTTCGACCCAGTTGGATTAGAACCGAAATTTTTGATACTTTGATATACCTAGCAGCCACATACTATTCATTTTTTACCTTCTTTGCACGATTTTTGTTTTGTTTTGTACAATTTGAATGGAGAACTAATTCCCGAAGGCAAATCCTGTTGCTTGCGGATTCCATCGCTTTGAGGTTATTCTAATACCAATTTAAATTCGATTCCTTTCAATCATTTTCTATGAAGTCATTTGCTTAATTTGATTGCAATTGTTTGCTTAATTCGATTGTTGTTCATATGATAGAATTGGTTAAATTCGATTGTTGTTCATATGATAGAATTGATTAAATTTGATTGTTGTTCATATGATAGAATTGATTAAATTCGATTGTATGCATATTTTTAAATCTAATTGCGTGTTATCGTTTGCTTAATTTGTTAACTCGTCATATTCTTAACTGTTTGCTTAATTCGGTAAATAGGAACATAATTCATTTGATTTTGATAAACGGTTGTCTAATTGATCTCATAATCGAATATGATCGAAGCCGCGCTTAGAGATTGATGTTATAATAGCCGATGATAAGTCGAAATCCGAATCAATAGGATTAATAGTTTTAGCTTAATTAATAATCACTTATTTTAATCACTTTTTCTCTTGTTTTATAAATAGAAACTTAAAACCCTCATAAACATTTTCTTTATTTGGTTGAAGTAATACAAGAATCCTTGTGATACGACATCTGAGTGTCGCTTCCCTTTACTACCTTCTCAAAAATACTCGTTTTTAATTTGTGTGCGACAGCAGATCAGTCATCAAACTGAAAGAAAAACTTAAATCTTCAAGATCATAAGCTTTGTTTATCAATGAAGCCTTCAGACTTCATGCCCAATTGAATCCAAGAAATTATGTCAAACTTCATCTGAATCGGAGTCAATTGATTCCACTAGTTGTTCAACAATAGCTTCTATCTTTCTTATCTTTCTAGGATTCAAATTGATGATCATTATCTTCTTTGTGTCAGGTGTCACACTAGAAGGTTCAACAATGGTGATGTTATTCCTAACATCTACTGCTTTTTTGACTTTATTTAACCAAAACTGAATCATATCACCAACATCCTTAGAATCCTCAATTTCTTTGATAGATACGCTCACACTAGATTGGTTAGATAAATCTTCATAATTTTGATTCATGTTGAGAGGAAGAAGCTTATGAGGATGAGTTCGCTGCATGTGGAATAGAGATATGTCAGGATTTTTATTTTAAGAGGGACGACTATTTTGTGCGAAAGTTTGATAACTTTACTTATTTATGTCTAATACTTATCACCACGACTGTTAACAAAATTCATAATAAAACGTAAGTACTATTTTAATATATTTATTAGATTATAAGGGCAAACCCTTTTTATAATAAAAAATATTTTTAAAAAATATTGGTGTGAAAAATCAAAACAAATAACTTTTTGTCTATCACAACGGTTGTTGATTTCAATAAAATAATAAAAAAGTCAGACAAACAAAAATACAATATTACTATCGTATTTTAAACCATCATTGTAAAATTGCTTTAGCAAAAATATATTTGTAATCCCGGAGTTCAAAAGATACATCAAACCTAATAATTATTAGATTGAGATTGTCCTATCAATTTCTTGGGACCCCCTTAGGAAACTACCATGCACTTTCCTTCCGAGCAGAAAGGTTACGTAATCTTCAATGCCATAATTCAGTTCTGCTCCCCTAAGCAATTTCATAGCAACACCCTCAAAAGCTATTCTTATTTTCCTTATATAAATCTCCATTTTTCTATTTGACTCTTGCACTATATTAAAAGACTCATATCTATTTGTAATTTCAAGTCACCTTTCAAATAATATAATAATATTCTTTTATGTATTAAGAGAGGAAATTTTGTTTCTCAAATTTTCATACTTATTATTATGGCTAGAATCCTAAAACCATCCAAGTGGTTCTCTAACAAAGGTCTTAAACTTAGGTCAAGATCTTCCAATTCATCATCATCACCATTATGCTCGCCAAAGAATAACAAGAATGAAGATGAAATGGGATTAAGAGAGGTTTTCAATTACTTTGATACTGATGGAGATGGAAAAATTTCAGCCTATGAATTAAGGTCATATTTTGGGTCAATTGGTGAGCACATGTCTCATGAGGAAGCTGAAAGGGTGATTCGGTATCTCGATGCCGACGGCGACAACTTGTTGGATTTCAATGATTTCATTAAGTTGATGAAAGGTGAAGAAGGAAGTTGTGATGATAAAGATCTTAGAAAGGCTTTTGAAATGTTTTTGTGGGAAGAGAAAGAAGATTGTATTACACCAAAAGGGTTGCAAAGAATGTTGCAACGTCTGGGAGATGAAAGGTCTTATGAAGAGTGTGTGGTTATGATTGATGCATTTGATATTGATCATAATGGAGTTCTTGATTTCAATGAGTTTCATCAAATGATGGCTTAGTAAAATGAGATTAATTAGGATTGCAAAATTTCAAGATCAATGCATATAGTATAAACGTAAATATATTGTGATGAGTGAATGAGTTTGTTAAAGTGTCAAATAAAGAAAAGAAAAGAAAGGATTATTGAAATTTGTGTATTTTTTGTATACTTTTAAAGTAAATATTATGATTCCATTGAGATTTGAAATACATTAAAAGAATTTTGTGGCCCTGATCAAGCCAATGCAAGTGTTAAATTCATGCCAAAAATTAGGAAAATTTTATTGTCTTTGGTAGAAAATAGGTAAATAGGTTGGAGCATAGTTAGAAGCTGGCAACATGGCACTACTGTTTTGAAGTTGGAATGGATCTTTCGATAATGTTATATCTATTGTACTTGTACCTTTAAAGCCAAAGGAAACTGATAAGAAATAGTTGGAAATGTGAAGAAAGTAACATGCCATGTCTACTTTAGGTCACTAGAGGATGTGCGAACACTTAAGCAGGTCCCTTAAAAATATGATCCAGATTTTATTGTTTTATTTTTTAATTATTGAAGTGTAGTAATATTCGAAATTCGAATATATTAAAAAAATTTAAACGAAATCGTAAAATATGTTGATGAAAAATATCGTACATGTTTAATTTTTTGTTTAATTTTTCTTTTGTGATTTAGGAAAGTACGTCGTTCTTACACGGCTCACACTTAAGAGTTTTGTATATGTTTGGTTTTTTGAATCATGCTATCCTGAGTGGGCCGGTTTCATCTCAATTTCAATAAAACTCGCCCCGAATGAAAATACGTTCAGTCGGGTTGAAGTTGTTAATGAGTTAGATTGGTCATGATAGACCACAAGTGTACAAGTAAAATATAATTTTACTGAGGACTATGTGAATTACCAATTTTTTGTGTATTCAGTTAGATTTTTAATGAGTTAGTAATTTTTATTTTTAGAAATTAAATAAAAGACTAAACTTATGATCATGATTTTTATCTTTCGGACTGATCAAGTAAAGCAATAATTTTTTACTCTATTTTGACAAATTTTAGTTTTCAAAGAAAGAATATAAAATTTTAGGTTGTATCTTCCTTTAAAGCATACAATTGTATCTTAAGTCATTAAACACCATTATTTTCATGGTTTGGTACAGTGATACAACCCATTAAGAACTGTTGTTTGCATTGCATTGGTATGCGCTTTCTTAAATATGCCTAAACTATGTGCCGACATATTCACCTAGTTTTTGGATTTGAATATGAACCTTGACCTTTCAATCCATCGATTGATGTAAAAATTAGATTGTAAATCAGAATTTTATAAATAGAGTTTCGGGACTTTTTTGCTTTACATGAGACTATTCATTTATGATAAAAGTTAAAAATGTTAAATGTAATTTACATGTATCGAAATAGTTTGTTTTGACATAAATTTATTTTGATGAGATTTGATATAATTTAGATTTGATTTGATTTTGAATATTTTGGACTTTTTATGTTTTGGGCTTTTGTAAACCTAAAACTATAAATAGGCGTCTTGCTTTATAATCAAATATAGAACAGATTTCACAGTTGCAGAGTTTAACAAGTAAAAGTTCAATAGTAATCAGAAATCCCACCGTTTGTGGGTAACACAATTTTCTCCAAATATTTCTTCTCTCATTCTTCTCTTTCTTGCTGCTTGTTTGTTTGTTATTCTTCTTCTTTTTTGCTGTTTTTGATAACTCTTTACTTGTTATCACCATTACTATCATATTGTGGGTTTGTTCATCAATCTTGAGATCAAGATTGAAGGGAATTCTTCATAGGGTGTGAGGTGAATTTCCAACATCTGGTATCTAGAGCTCCGGTTGAAAGATTCAAGGAAGGAAGATAGTGATGGCGATTACCTATCTGAACGGCAACTTTTCGGCGACCCTGCCAATTCTCAAGAAAGACAATTATGAGAATTGGTGCAAGCAGATTAAAGTGATTTTCTGTTATCAAGATCTTTGGGATCTTGTGAAGGACAGAGTAACATCGTTTGGGGAGAACGCAACGGAGGCGGAAAAGGCTGCGCACAAAGAATTGAAGAAGAAGGATTATAAAGCACTCTTTATAATTCATCAGTGTGTTGATCCTGATAACTTTGAAAAGTTTAGTGATGTTGATTCAGCAAAAGAAGCATGGAAGATTCTTGAAAAGTCGTTTGGAGGCGCAAAAAAGGTGAAAGAGGTGAGGTTACAAACTCACAAGAGAACCTATGAGTTGCTTCAGATGGAAGACAACGAAAGCATTACAAATTTCTTCACCAGAGTTACAAAGTTGGTGAATCAAATCAAAGTATATGGAGAATCGTTGACGACGAAAGCAGTTGTCTCAAAGATTTTGAGATTGTTGGCTCCAAAATTCGACCACGTGGTAGTTGCCATAGAAGAGTTGAAAGATCTGTCAGTGTTGACGAAGGAAGAGCTTCAATGGACTCTTGAGTCTCATGAATAGAGGATGGCTGAGAGAGCTGCAAGAAAGTCGAAAGATATGGCTTTGCAGGCACAGTCAAAAAAGGAAAGAAAAGGCAAAGGTAGCTGGAATGGCAACAAAGGAGGAAACCAGTCGAATAAGAAGAAACCTTGGAACCAAGGCAACCAAAGAGGTGGTGCTGCAGGTAAAGGAAGAGGTGGTGGTTGAAAGACAGACAAAAGCCACATTCAATGTTTCAATTTCCAGAAGTATGGTCATTATGTTAGTGATTGTCCAGAAAGGAAGAGAAATCAAGAGACTGATGCAAAGCTGGAGAAACATGAAGAAGAAGAAACGTTGCTAATGGTCATAACAAAAGATGAATAAAGATTCCAAGATCAGTGGTATTTGGACTCAGGATGCTCATCACACATGACTGGAAGGAAAGATTGGTTTGTCAAAATGAAGCCCTCGTTGAAAAACACAGTGAAGTTTGCAAATGACAACACTCTAGCAGCTGAAGGTGTTAGTGATGTTCTGATTATGAGGAAAGATGAAAAAAGGTCAACAATTTCCAGTGTGTTGTACATACCAGGCATGAAGAGTAATTTGCTCAGTATAGGGTAGCTTGTCGAAAATAACTACAAGGTAGTTGTCGAATACAAGATGATGAGAGTTCTCGACGCAGGTGGTAGATTAATCTTGAAGGCTTTAATGTCTCAGAATAGGACCTTCAAGATTGAACTCAATGTGATGGAGCACAAGTGTCTAGCGACTACAGCCAGCAGAGATGAGTGGTTATGGCATTTTCGACTAGGTCATCTCAACTTTAATGACATCAGAGAACTGAAGAGAAGAAATATGGTTTCAGGATTACCAGAAATCAACATTCCAAGGGAAGTCTGTGAGGAGTGTGTTCAGTCGAAACAACACAAGAATAGCTTCATCAAGGATGCAGGAAGGAAGTCGAAGGCAATACTTGAAGTCATATACTCTGATGTATGTAGTCCAATCCAGGTGGATTCGATTGGTGGCAATAGATACTTTGTCACGTTTATAGATGATTACAGTCGAAAGTTGTGGACTTACCTCATCAAGAAGAAAAGTGATGTGATTGAGGTATTTTCCAAATTCAAGTCCATGGTCGAAAGACAGAGTGGTCGAAAGCTGAAAATTCTGAGGACTAATGGTGGTGGAGAGTATGTGTCGAAAGAGTTTGATACACTATGTGTAAAAGAAGGGATTATGCATGAGGTGGTGCCACCCTACACTCCACAGCAAAATGGGATTGCAGAGCGGAAGAACAGAGCCATCATGAATATGGTGAGAAGTATGTTGAATGGAAAGCATCTACCCAAAGAATTATGGGGAGAAGCAGTTTCGACAACAACATATATATTGAACAGATGTCTGACGAAGAAGCTTGAAGGAATCACACCAGAAAAATGTTGGTCTAGTGTCAAGTCTAGTCTCAGTCACTTAAAGGTGTTTGGATCTATAGCACATAGACATGTGCCAGATCAGTTGAGAAGGAAGCTTGATGATAAGTCGAATCAGATGGTCTTGGTAGGATATCATTCGATAGGAGGTTACAAGTTGTTCGACCTAGTGAATAAGCAGGTAGTGATCAGCACGGACGTGATCATAGATGACCTTAAAGAATGGGATTATACTGAGAATGCCAAGAAGGATTCAGTGAGAATATCTTGTGAAGAACCAGCCACTGAACTCGAAATAGAAGTTCAATAGGAACCAGTTGCATATGAAGCAAGTCCAAGCAGACCTCGACGAACAAGACACATGCCTACAAGGTTGCAAGAATGTGTAATTACATCAGATGATGTAGTCGATGAAGAGGGTGAGCTGGTACGTTATGCTTTCTACGCAGATGTCGAACCAGTCAATGCAGCTGAGGCATTGAAAGATTTGAAGTGGGTGAAAGCAATGACTGAAGAGTTGGAGTCCATCGAAGTCAATGATACCTGGTCACTTGTCGAATTGCCGCAAGGCAAGAAGGCAATTGATGTGAAGTGGGTTTACAAGGTGAAGGTAAATCCTAAAGGATAAGTAACTCGACACAAGGCGAGACTTGTGGCAAAAGGATTTCTTCTGAAGGAAGGAATCAACTTCGATGAAGTATTCACACCTGTTGTTAGAATCGAAACAATCAGGTTGGTTTTTGGTCTAGCAAATATGAACAACTGGCACACATGTCAGATGGACGTGAATTGTGCATTCCTTAATGGTCCCTTAGACGAAGAAGTTTATGTTGCACAACCAGTTGGGTTTGTGAAACAAGGCGAAGAAAGAAAGGTGTACAGGCTTCATAAAGCCCTGTATGTACTTAAGCAAGCTCCAAGAGCTTGGAATAAGAAAATCGACAGCTTCTTAAGGGAGAAGGAATTTGTGAAGTGTACAACTGAGCATGGAGTATATGTAAGAAGAAGCAATGGCGAATTGCTTATACTATGTCTCTATGTTGATAATTTGTTGATAATAGGGAGTTGCAAGAAGGAGATCAAAGATTTCAAACATGACCTGAGTGAGGAGTTTGAAATGTCAGACTTGGGAAATCTCTCATAT